TTGCCTGCGCAAGTTCTTTGATTTTATGTAGTGGGCTCTGAGTGAGTGTGTTAATTTTTATTGCATTCCTTCAAACATCAGATTGGAGTTTTTGTCCACCAGTTTTGCTTTTTGTCATTTAATTATTATCTGTATGTGTAGGTTCATGAGAAGAAAATGAGTGGATTTTGTAAGTTTTATTTATAAATGTTTCTCAGTTGGCTGTATTGAGAATCCACCCTCCCATTACTTTTTTTTTTTTTTGGAGAGGTTTTTTTTCGCTATAGGGTGCGTGCGCTCGCCAGACAGAGAGACAGAAAGTGAGAAGTCACTCCCCAGGGGGGATGGCCACACCGCAATCCCTTCTCCTCCATTCTCCTCTCGGGTTCTTGGGCACGCATGCACATGCGCCCAGCATGAGTTTTAAGCCACCGGGTCAGGGACGTGAACTGCGGTTGACTACGTGGGAGTCCAGCGACATAGCCATTACACTAACTGCTGGTTCCCTATGGGGGAGTTTAATTTGGAGTGTTCAATGGTCAACTTGTGACAGGAAAAGATATCTCTTTGTTAATGTGAATATTGGGCTACCGTGGTGGATAGTTCTAGTAGCTGGGAGAGATAACAAGGAACTGAAATAAAGCCATGGAATTGGAGGCCTAGGGACCAGCAATTAGCATAATGGCCATGTCACTGGACTCCCATGTAGTTGACCCGGGTTTGCGTCCCGGACCCGGTGGCTTAAACTCACGCCAGGCGCGTGTGCATGCGTGCCCAAGAACCCGAGAGGAGAATGGAGGAGAAGGGATTGCAGCGTGGCCATCCCCTCTGGGGGGGGTGATTTCTCGCTTTCTGTCTCTGTCTCTCTCTGTCTTTCTGGCGAGTGCACACACCCTATAGCAAAAACCTCTCTAAAAAAAAGTTTTGTATTTAATATCTTGTATTAAAGAACATTACCATTTTATCTCTAAAAATTGTTCATTTTATATTTATCATTGTGAATTCTTGGTTTATTTCCTTTGCTCACTTTTATAATGGGCTTTCAATCTGTCAGGTGTCTTGAGACTTTAAGAATATTTTTCTTGGAGTCAGGAGATAGTGTAATGGTTATATCACTGGACTCCCACATAATTGACTGTGATTTGAGTCCCAAACTGGTGACCTAAAAAAACTCATGCCAGGCACATGTATGTGAGTGTCCAAGATCCCAAGACAAGAATGTGGCAAAGGGATTGCTGTGTCACCATCCGCCTGGAGCCTGATTTCTAGCTTTCTCTCTATCTGTCTCTCCAGCCCTATAGCAAAAATCTCTCTCTCTCTCTCAAAAAAATAATATTTTCCTGGGACCAGCAGTTAGTGTAATGGCTATGTGGCTGAACTCCCA